GATCAATTATAAAAAAATGAGTAATGATATATAAATAAAAATTTTATATAAATTTTATACATAATAATATGATTTAATGTGCATATTTTATTTTAATATAAAACATTCATACATATGAATTTATTTGACTACTACACCCTTTTTATATGGAGTTTTTTTCTTTTTTGTGTGTATAAATTGAGTTTTTAATCTGTGATCATAGGATTCTTGTTAGTATTCGTTTTCAATAAATCTAAGAAAAATAGGACTAACCACCAAAAAAATTAAATAATATGAATTAAACAATAACATCTTTAATGGCGGGCCTCACACTCTAAATTCTATCACCATAATTATTTTAATATAGTTGATTTTAGTGTCCTCATTGGTTTGGTTTTTTATTCTTTTTGGAATTCTTTTCCCTAATCAATTGATCTGTCCAACAGCTCAATAATACTCTCTACTCTATCCTTCTAATAAAAATATTTCCTTCTTAATAAACCCAACCAAAAAATATTCACTTGTCCAAATTCTTAAAAAAATATCTTATATCAATACTTAACTAATAAAACAAATAAATGTCTCGTTAAAAATATTTTTTAAAAAATAATAATTCTTATTTAAAATCACAGCTAAAAAAATTCATTATCTAAAAGCCCAAAAACCTGTAAATAAACCTCTTTATAACTACAAGAATCAAAAAGTAAAATAAATTTAACACAACAATTTATAATATATATAAAATTAATAAATGTTATTTATATAAATAAGAAAAGCCTCTAATTGAAATTTCATTTTAGGCCTCAATGGTGGTAACTGGAAAATTTCAGGGGACTTGGACGAGAAGAGAGTGACAGAACTGAAGTTGATTGGCCAATTGTGTTCACATTTGCAAAATCCAACAGAAACCAAAGGGAAAATAACAATAACAAAAACAAAAACACAATTCAATCCGTTTTACCTTCCCAAAGAGAGAAGGTAAAACTCAAGTTCAAAGAGTAGTTCAGGCTCCAAAAATATTTTAAAAAAAATAAAAATATCAAAGAACTGTTCAGGCCTCAAAAATATTAAAAATAAATAAATAAAAAGTTCAAAGGACTGTCTAGGAGTGCTAATTTGATGACTTCATATTGCAGCATCAGGTAAACCCTAATGATGAATAAAGGTTGTGGTATCAAGTTTTTCAAATCAAAAAACACCCTTTGTCAAAAAGCAAGCTAAAATGTCCCCTTAGACCATCTCTAACCCAACACATTTTCTTTCATCAACTTTAAATTTGATGAAAAAAGTATATTTTTGTTGCTCCAATCGTTTCATCAAAACCAATATCAAATCTAGGATATGTTAAAGGCATCTTCAACGTTTACTCATTTATTTCATCAAATTTAAGTAAAAACTACATTTGATATCGCTCTCCAACGGAGGTTTTTGATTTTTCATCAAATCACCGGTTGACCAGGTGGACGATCGGGCAGATGTTCAACCAATCGACCAGTCAGTGTAAATTGCAAAAAAGTGAATGTCCGGAGGGACAACCAGCCGGTCGTCCAGTGCTTCCACACTGACAGCTATCTACAATAATTTGAAGAAATGCTTCACTCATCCTCAATTTGATTAAAACTTTTAGTCATCTTCAATTTGATGTCAAACTAATGACAATGTTTGAGTAGGACTTTGATCAATTTTTTATCAAATTTAAATTTGATAAAAGAAAAGGTGAAACGTTGAAGATGGTCTTACAGTTTTCATCAAATTAAAGATAGTTGTGGTTTTCACCAATTTACTGTTTAGAGCCGTTGGTGTTGCAGGTAGTACAACACTGCCGGACGATCGACTAGATATCCGGTCAATTATCTCCCTGAACGATCACTTCGGTGAAAAATTGCCCACAACATATTTCAGATTTGATTGAAAATTACACTACCCAGTCGACTGGCCAAACGTCCTCCCGGTCGACCAGTAATTTAATGACAGTCCAAAATCTTTTGTTGAAGCGCACAATATCAGATAAAGTTTTTACTCAAATTTGATGAAACAAATGAGTAAATGTTAAAGATGCCCTTAGGTCACTAAAATAGTCTTAGAAATCTAGCACCGGTCATTCATATAAAAAGTTCATTAAAATTTAAAATGTAACAAGTCTGCAGGCTTCATCGGTTTATGTTTTACTTGATTGTTCGTTTGAAATGGAATGCATCCCCAAAGCCTTGCAAGTAAGGGAAGGCAACCCACAATCAAATTCAGTACCAATGTCCACTGACATTTAGGAACAAATAATATCTACCATCTCTGCCAAGTCAACAAATAATTGGTACAGAGCTTGTGAAGTTCATTGTCAAGTTTCTTCTTCTAGGACATCTTCCATATTTGCTACATTCTTATGTACGAGATGCTTAGATAGAGAAATCAATTTGTAAGATGCTTAAAGCATAGGATAATTTTTCTAGAAAAAAACAGTGTCTCAAAGCAACAAGAAAACCACAAACGGCAGCCAAAGTTCAAGGGCTTTAATCATATATCAATGTATTTTATTTTATTCTTTAGGTATGAAGTAAGCAAGATAGAGGGTAATGAGCACAGGTGGCCCAATGGTTAAAGACAAACATAGGACAAACAGTGAAATCAAAGATCTTGTCTGTCTCTTGCTGAATGTTATGGCCAATTTTACCAGATACGCATGAGAGAGCTCATGCACAAGTATGCCACATAACCACAAGCATTCTTACAAATTAAGCTAGTCAGCATCTTTCTAAATCCATGGTTTATTGATTCAGCAGCATAATTCCAAATTTTCAAGTGAAGCAAAATCAACCCAAGTCTACAGTCTACATAAATAAAGCACATTCAGCGGAATGAAGAATTGAATTGCTTGACCTAGGGAAACTGTTTAGTGTCTAATGTAAATTTATGATACAAAATTACAAATGCAGCAAAACTCTAGCAATGCAGAAAATTTGATAAAAAGAAAACAAAAGCTGGCATTTAGCTCTCAAACCTACAGTAGTGACTCATGGGAAGCTGCTTCAGAAACCATGATGTATGAGGGTTTCGATTCCTCACCATGAAGGCAAACATTAACCTCATGGAAAAAGGTTATAATCCATTCCCAATGAACAACTAAAGTTTAAAATGTTTAATGCAAAGGTTTAAAATGCCCGATGCAAAGGCAAAAGTTCTTGTCCACAAAAAGTTTCATAATCAACACCAAGAAAAGCCCTCAACCTCCAAACAGCTGAGGTATCCAACATTTTAGGTATCAATCAAATAGTGGCAGATTAAAAATCAAGGAATTATAACCCAAAAAATGCACAAATTATACAATTCCACAAATTGCTTGAAATTCTGAACTTATCAGAACATCTATCAAAACGAGAGGCACAACAGTTTTGGCAAAAAGTAGAGCAAAGCAAAATGGTGGAAAAAAAAATGTAATAGCAGTGAAAAAATGAATTCAAGGTTTTTCTTTTTTGTCTTTCTATCTTTTTGCAGATCTTTTTCTCATCCTTGTATTGGAAGAGGAGAAGATGGGAGGCAAACATTTTAGAAACCAGAGAGTTGACTATTAGGGGGCAATTGGATAGAAGCTTGAATTGGCATCTGTATTCTTATTCTAACAAAATGGAAGACGTGTCAGAAGCAAAATTCCGGCATAAATAAACCAATTCGAGATTTCCTAATTTGTTTCAGCGTGTTAGAGGCTATGTCAGATGGACTCTTCTATTTTTTCCAAAGTACTCCTGTCCACCGGATATGACAAGGGTACGGGAGGGAGATATGTGCCCGACACCTGTACTTAATTTAAACACTTAGATCCTCTATTTTTTATGATGTTCAAAGAAGAAGAAACTCACATTCACTAGTAAAAAAAAAATTCTAGCTTCTCGCATTGACGAGAGAGAGATTCTATATTTTTCTTAAATCTTATTTAATAAGTACAATTCTACATAATTTACAATATTTTATATTATAATATTGCACAATATGCAATATATATGTGTCCATGGCATGTCCCCATACACATATCAATTTTTGCATACATGTCCCAATATTCTAAAATTTAAGTTTATGAAGATTTGATGCTAGGACATGCACCCGCACCCGCACCTGATACTTGTGTACCTAAGTCCATTTAAGGCAACACAACAGCACTGAAACTTCAGCCAGAACAGCACTAAGGCACTAACTATGTTTCTTAATGATGTACTTGAAGAATATTTAAAAGTCAAAGTGATTAATCATTATGTTAAAACCAAGATGAAAACATCAAGCTTGACATCCAATCTAAAGCTCCCAAATATGATACTAGCTTTTCTAGATATATGTGAAGGCTAGAGTTGGTGTTGACATCTCATTTTTTTGTATTTTTCCAAAACATCCCCCTATAGTAGTTACATGGTAAGTTAAGACCTTCAAGTTTTTTTTTTCCCCTCAAATCTCTCAACTTCTGATTATTCCAAATTTATTTTAATTTTCAGATTTGAATTCAATCAAGAGTTTTTTTAAGTCCTCGCTTGGCATTGGTTTTTTTTGCTGAGTTTTTTTGTGTTGGGACTTTTTTAGCTTCGTTTGGTTTGACTTTTTTGGCTTTTTGACTTTTTTTGAGAGAAAAAGTGTAATGATTATGATTTGGATATAACATTTTGTCTCATTGACTTATGTAGCCATTTGTCTTTTTGTGCTTTTTTAGCCAAAAATCTAAAACCAGACAAAGCTTAAGAAAAAATGATCATATGCTCATACATTGAGTGTGCCATCACTTCTAGTACAAATATATGTACACATATATACACCACCTCACACATAAATTTACAATGATCACTTGGCAACCTAGTACAACATTAAAAAAACCTAATGAATACTTTGGAAAATCTAATCAAAACTGTAATTCCAGCGAATTCCATCCAATAAACCGACAACAGAGCACAAAATCAAATTATCAAACAATGCTCTATACAGCAATCACTTCTTCAGACGAGTCGGAAAGGGCACAACCACATATTTACATATAGACACACAACACATCTACACAAATACAAGTGCATTATCATATAAACCAATGTAAAATGGTAATACGCTTTAAATTTTAGTATAGTCATTAACTGAAACAACCCCAAAAATTCCCAATAGAGCGTAAAACCCTAATTATCAAATTGAACCACATAGAAATCCAAAACAATCCATAACAACATCAAAATTCATATAAAAAACACTAACCCTAAGCCTAGGAATCCCATCAAGACCTTACCTGTATGCTCTCATTGATCCAAAAAACAGTTTACTTCTGAGAGGGGGTGCCGAGGAGGCTGGCTTGTTGCATCTCGAGCTCGTTGAGCTGTTGCTCGCGGTCCATCTCGATGATGAGAGGGACGACGAGGATGAGGAAGGTGGTTCCGGCGATCCACGCCGCCTTGCCGGTGCTCTTCAGGAGGCGCTTCGTCACGTAGGACGCGTCCGAAGCCGCCTGTTTGCCCCTGTAGACGATCGGAGACTGCAATACTGCGCTCGAAACCCTAGATAGAATGCCATCGTTGTCGCTGCTGCTCGATCTGGTGAGAGAGAGGCGCTTTCCGCCCTTCTTAGACGCCATGGGAGACAGAGAGAGAACGCTGATATTTTTGTGTGTATATATATATAGGGGAGAAAGCAGAGAAGGACGAGAGGTCTTTTGGGCCAAGCTTTTCTCGGTGCAGTGTGTTTTTTGTGGACCCAATTTTAATTAGCCAAGGAGATTCCGGTCCATAATTTGAATAGAACAGAAGAGATTAGAATTCTATTTCCGCTCAAAAACAATTGTTTAAGTGAGCTTAATTTTTTAGTATATTTTATCAAAAAAAGTGTTCAAAATGATATAAATAAATATATATTTTGATATATTTTATTAAAAGAATGTATAAAAAAATAGAGAGGTAATGACTTAAAAATGATAAAAAGATTTTTTTAAAAAAAAGTTTACTTTTGGGGAGAATGTCAAATAGTACTTACATTATTTAACGTTATAATTTAGAAGCCACTATTACACCTACCTAATTTCTTTGGACCCTCCATTCTTTCATTTTTTTAATTCTAATTTTGTCCAAAAAGCAAATTCCATTTTTACCCTCATCTCTCAATCTCTAACCCTAATTTTCCAAACTCTAACCCTAATTCCATCATTTTCAACAACATTCTCTCCTCCTTTCCACCACCGCGCCACTGCCATCACTACCCACCGCCCACTATCACTGTCGAAACCCTAATCCTTGATCTCACACCCCCTCTCTTAACTCACCATCACACAGAGAGAGAGAAAGAGAGAGAGAGAGAGAGAGAGAGAAAGAGTCGCGAAGAATAAGAAGACGAAAAGAGAGAAAGAGAGAGAGAGAGAGATCACGAGTTCGATTGAGGGAGATCGAGCCCTCTTCTTCTTCTCTCTTCTCTCTAAATTTGGTCTACGGCGGCTAGCGGCTAGAGACAAGCAAGGGCGATGGTAAGAGCCAACAACGAAAGGGCAATGAAAATCTAGGGTACTCTCCTCCTTCTCTTCTTCCTTCTCTTTTTCTTTTTTCCCCAAAACCCTAACAATCGAACAAGTCATTTGTATTACCAAACCAAAAGGATTCGTTCAGCACTGTGTTGCTAAACCCACTCCATCATCGTGACCTTCATATTCATTGAGAAAGGGGGAAAAACCTAGGGTTTTCAGAAGAATAAGAAGAAGAATGAGGAGGGCAACAAGATAGGGAGAGATGAAAACCTAGGGTTTTTTAGGAAGAAGAGAGAAAATGAGAAATGCGGCGACAGGAGATACTGTGACAACCACCTCCTTAATTAAGCAAATTAATTATATTAATTATATGCTTATTGCTAATTATGTGATTATGTGTTATGTGAATTATGAGCCATAATATATATGCTTGCATTGATTGGTATTATAGTGTTATTGTGAACAGATATGTAAAGGAATGAAATAAACCTGTCTGAATCACTAATTTTATCAAGTTATAATTAAATAATAAGATAGGAAATTAAAGCCTAATTCACATTAGGAAAGATTAAAATTTGTTTGATTTAAGTCATAAATGTTAGAGCTTAATTTAATTTGAATAAGTTTGATTTGAATCAATTTATTAACCAAATTAATTGAAGCTTAAATTGTATTAAGCTAGTGCAATGATGGGATAAGTTGGGTTAGGAAATATAATATATAAGAGACAAAAATCAACAATAGAAAGAGAGTTGGTGGCCTGGTGTACTACACGTAAAGAGAGAGAGTGAGAGACTTGAGAGTGTGAACTCCACCTAGGAAGAAAAAGAAAAGGAAGAGAAGGCAAAGAAACCATTGCAACTACACTCCACCCCTCACAATTCACTCCCTTTAGGTAAGGATTGTGGTAACCCCGGTCCGTATTATGCTAATTAACCTTAGTTATGATTGTGATTATGTGTTTGATATGATTTTGAGTGTCGTTTATATGAATATATATGGTTTTGAATTTCTATCTGTTTACCGTAGGAAAATCTGTTTGATTATCTACTTTAGAATTTAAATTGAAGACCTTATCGACCATAGAAACCGAAATTGACTACGTCATTGTGATTGGTGTAATTTTTAGAGCATATGGTGAAATTTAATTAGAAATTGATTTGGATCAAAATAATTAAATTCAGAATGATTAATTAGAGTGTCATTACTTAAACTTAATCAATATGATTAAGCAAGCTTATAAATAGGCCAATATACCCTTAAGTCCCTCATTTTGTGAACTCAAAATCTGAAATGCACTCTAAAGAGAGAGGGAGAGACGGCTCTAGAGAGAGTGAGGGGCTCAAATTATGAATGTTGGCTCAAAGCTTGAAGATTGGAAGCTAAACTCAAAGATCTAACTAGAATTTGGGTGATTGGAGCTCCTAGGTGAGTAATTGAACATGAATTCATGTGTATAAGTTTGTAATTTTGTGAATTCAAAGTTAGATGGCAATCAAGAGCATGAGTTGTGTTGATTATGATGAATTGGAAGCCTATATGCACATGCATGCATAGAAATTACCATGATTTTACACATTCAAGCATGGAGCATGTCGAACATGATGAATTGGGCACCAAATCTCACATGCTGTAGACGTCCCCGAACGCCCCGGGAGGGTGAGCTCCCGTTCTGTTCATTTGGGCTCACTACAGCTCAGGACTCTCAAATTGTCACGATTCTAAGTCTGAACCAAAGAGTCCAAATCCGGCAAATCGTTTTGAGAAAACAGATTTTTTTGAAAGAAGTGCCAAACATGGACTGCTTTGCCAGATACAGAGTCGCCACCTAAATATTTT